GCGAAGCCAGTCGGTGAGTCAAAGATCGCTGGAAGCGGCGCCCCCTGGTGAAAGCTGTCGGGCTCGGTTTCACTGCTTCGCGCTATGAGCAGCGCGGCAGGAAGCCGAGGTCTTCTGAGGCCGGGCGCTCAGTTCCGTTCGCGGCCGCTGCCAAAGTTTGTGGCAGGTTTTTCAACCTGCATCGCTGGTCTCCTGGCATGCCCGCCAAAGAGGAAAGAGCTGCACAATGCAGATCTGGCTTCTGAGAAAAAGAGCAGGTGCAACTACATGCAGCTGGGAAACGAGTAGCCATCTTCGGTGACGTAGATCTGAAATACTTAGTTTGGTTTTAGATTTTTTCTACGCTTTTTTTGAGCTCTGTGGTAGGTGGCAAAGTAAACTTAGTTTAACCATGTTGTTCTGCGGCTGGAAAGCGCCCTGCCGCGGCAAGCGATGTTCCTGGCGCTTGCGGCAGGCGCTGGCCTCCGTAGCAGCGCCTTCTTCCAGAAGATGGAGGAAAATGGGTTTGCCGCTGTGGCGTCTGGCGCGGCGGCGGGAAATCCATGGATATTCAAAACCAAGCCTGAGCTCCGAGTCGCGCCCAAGGGAGCTTCACTGGGTTCAGGCTTGGAGTGTCAGGGCCGTAACGATCTGCTTGTTCTGCCGTTTTCTCCGCCGGCGGATGGACGGCAGCAAATGGAGGTGCATGTCTGGTGTCTGGATGGGAACCGCGGTCAGCTTCCTGAGTTTCGGCAGCGCGTATCCTGGGTTTTGAAGTCTGCGGAAAGCCGTGAGCTGGGCTTCAGGCTTGAGTGCCGCGGATTTCCATGAGGCGTGGAAAGCGTTTGAGGGAGGCAGGTAGGTTTCGCTCCAGCGCGGGATTCTGGCCCAGAGTGGAGTGAGCTTTGAGGGAGCTGGCCCGGGTCGCACTGGCGCCTTTCCTCTATGGATGCTCACTGCAGCTAATATTTGGTTTATGATGGATGAAAGACTGGGTGTCCCTGAGCAGGATCTACCCTCTTCTTCTGCCCGCTTGGCAGCACGTGTCGGTTACAAGTGTTGAATTAGGTGCGATCCTGGAGTCCTTTTGGGCTGAAGGATGAGCGGCATCGCCACTTATTCCAGCCTTGGGAAGGTCCTATACCTGTTTGAAGTGGCTGGAGTTGTGTTGTGGCCATGCAGAGAGAGTCCCACTCAAGAGAGGTTGGTTGGAGTGTTCAGCAAGGCCAGGGACCCCGCAGGCAGAGCCCAGCATTCTTCCTATGTTCTGCAAAGCGAATCGCTTCCCGCAGCTTGAGATGGAGCGGAGCGCTTTGTCGGCGCTATCCTGAGGCGGATGACAGGTTCAGGTCGTGGAGTGAGCACCGTGCGGTTGGCAAACCGATGATCGCGCATGTGGTTCAGCTGTTCTCGAGGCCTGGCAGCGGTGGAAAAAGTGCCAATGGCATGTTTGCTGTTGAAATGCCTGCTCTGGCAGCAAAATTACATGAGTTGTGCTTAAATGAAAAAGCAGCAGCCCGAGTGGAAAGCCACATCTCCATCGCGCCGCGGTGAGATAAAAAGGCGGCTTGTAAGAAGCTGAATGTGAGAGTGCTGGAAAGCTGCTGACCTGGTGCTTCTGCCACAAACTTGCTGAAACGAGCGGATGATGGGGATGCTGGTAGTGTGGTTCATGACTATTTTTATGAGAGGTGAGTCTCGCCTCATCACTCAGCCAGTGATTCTTGTCACTGCAAAACTTGGCCTCCGTGGTTCGGCTGATCTTCCTGTCTCCCCAGCCTCCTGAGCTAGCTGGCTTGGTGGTCGCCACCACGCCTGGCTATTCTTGTGTATGTTTGGGACAGAGATTGCTTCTACCATGTGCTTGTGTTTGGTCTTGGTGTCCTATCTCTGTGTGTCCGCCTCATCTTTCTGAAGTCCTCAAAAGTGGATTATGTAGGTGAGCCACCATCTCTGCTTGATGACTTGTCTTTGAATAGCATAATGGTAGTGTTTCTTCTTCTTTTCTTTTTTTTTTTTGTATGTAGTAGTTCTTTGTTCACGCCTCTGCTGATGCACTGTTGATCCCAGCTCTATCGCAAAGCCCTGCCTCTGCTTATTACTCCAGCCTTCAGCCTGTGGCTTGGACACCGAGCAGGGCGCCTGCCACCCTGCCTGGCCATTCTTTTTTGTATTTTTAGTAGAGATGAAGGTTTCATCTCTCCAGCCATTGTGATGTCTTGATCTGTTGTCTGCAGATTCGGCCTGTCTCTGCCTCCAAAGCTGGGATTTGCGTGGTTTGGAGCCGTCACGCCTGGCCCAGGTAGTGGAAAGTTTCTTTTATCACTCCTGGCAATTCTCTTTGAGCCGTTGCAGGTGAACGAGATTTTGTTTGTCTTTCTTTGCAGTCTCTCAAAGATTTGTGTTTTGAAGATTGTTTTTTGCCAAACACAGAAAGCAGAGTACCCAAAGCTTAGTCAAGCACCTGGTTCATGCTTTATTTGTCCTGGAGTGGCTGGCTGGGTTTCATGTCAGGATTGTCCTCTCACTCTGCCAGAAGTTGCAAATTTTGTTTCATCTCTGCACTTTCTGTGATGGTATAGAGAGGAAAAGATGACCTCCCCAGATCTCTGGTGATAGTCTTACTGTATCTCCCTCTTTCCTTGAAAGGAATAAAGCTCCTGTGGTGGGCAAGTGATTAAAGTAGTATCGTCGCAGTCACTCACACAGCATCTTTCATAGGCGCGAGCTGGTTATCGGGATCGCATGGCTTACTGCTGGCCTGGTATGGAGCAGCCTAAGAGTGGTCGGCCGGCTTTATCCCCGTAGTCTACCGACTCCTGCCAATCTCCATTGTTCCGCAGTGGAGAGTTTACTGTGTATCAGAAGATCGTGCTCAACATCTGTCTTTGTATGTAGGCTGATAGTGATGTAAGGTACTCTAACAAAGTGGCTCCCCAAATTTTGTTCTGACTTCTCCTGCTCAGGTAAGGGAGCAGGTCGCTGCAGTGCTCTGCAGCGCGCTTGTCCCCCACCCAGGGTGCTGGCATTGCTCTAGCATTCACCTTAAGAAAGCTGTCATGATACAGGTTGATATCCAAAAAGCATGGCTCTGCCTGGCATGTATCGCTTACCCTGCAACTTCGTAGTGGAAACCACTTTTTTTATGTGGTATAGCTGGCGGTTCTCAGTTCTCACACCACATGGGTCCTCTACAAAGGCGCAGTTTTCAGGAGGCAGAGGTAGGAGCAGCCTCCTAATAAACACAGATCTACTGCAGGCTGGCCTCTGTTCCCAGAGGCACACTTTTTTTGTTGGGGACTTGTTCTGTGTTAAGTACTTCCACTTGATCCTCCTGTGGTTTTTTACAGGTGTTTTCTGTGTCACTCCTCTATTTTTCTATCTTTTTTTTTTTTTTTTTTTTTTTTTTGAGACAGGAGTCTTGCTCTGTCGCCCGGGCTGGAGTGCACTGGCTGGATCTCAGCTCACTGCAAGCTCCGCCTCCCGGGTTTACGCCATTCTCCTGCTTCAGCCTCCTGTGTAGCTGGGACTACAGGCGCCTGCCACCTCGCCCGGCTAATTTTTTGTATTTTTTAGTAGAGACGGGGTTTCACCGTGTTAGCCAGGATGGTCTTGATCTGCTGACCTCGTGATCCACCCGTCTCGGCCTCCCAAAGTGCTGGGATTACAGGCTTGAGCCACCGCGCCCGGCCTGGTAGTAAGTTTTTCTTTAATGCACTCCCCACAATTCTCTTGTTTGTTGTAGGAATCTGAGATCATTGACTTTTTCTTGGGGGCCTCTCTCAAAGACGAGGTTTTGAAGATTATGCCAGTGCAGAAGCAGACCCGTGCTGGCCAGCGCACCAGGTTCAAGGTACCTGGCTGTCCTGGAGTGGGCTGGGCTGGGCTTGTCAGGACTCTCTCGGCTCTGCGTAGTTGCACTTGGCTTCACCCGTGTGACTTTCGTAATGGGGAGAGAGAGAAAAGATCTCCTCAGGACCTCAGATAGGCCTTACTGTGGTCTCTCTTTCCTTGAGGGGCGCAACAGGCCCTGGGGGGTGGGCAGTGATTGGGTGTAGGGCCGCCAGTCGCCTCACACACATCTCTTCACAGGCGTTTGTTGCTATCGGGGACTACAATGGCCACGTCGGCCTGGGTGTTAAGTGCTCCAAGGAGGTGGCCACTGCCATCCGTGGGGCCATCATCTTGGCCAAACTCTCCATTGTCCCGGTGCGCAGAGGCTACTGGGGGAACAAGATCGGCAAGCCCCACACCGTCCCTTGCAAGGTAGGCTGATGGCAGGTTATGGGCCTCCTGTGGGGCGGGCTCCCTTGGGCCCTTGTCTCCTGACTTCTTCCCTCACCAGGTGACAGGCCGCTGCGGCTCTGTGCTGGTGCGCCTCATCCCTGCACCCAGGGGCACTGGCATCGTCTCAGCACCTGTGCCCAAGAAGCTGCTCATGATGGCTGGTATTGATGACTGCTACACCTCAGCCCGGGGCTGCACTGCCACCCTGGGCAACTTCGGTAGGTGGTCCACGCATGGGGCATAGCCATGGTCTCTCAGCTCCGCTTAACCACACGGGTCCAGTGTGTGCTTGGCGTGTTTTCAGGGAGGCAGAGAAAGGCTCTCCTAATGCACGACAGACCCGCCCAGAATGGCCTCTCTGTTCCTAGGAGTGCAACAATTTTTGGGTTGGGGGACTTGCCTCAAGCACACCACTGACCCTCCTGGGGTTCTTTTGTTGTGCAGCCAAGGCCACCTTTGATGCCATCTCTAAGACCTACAGCTACCTGACCCCTGACCTCTGGAAGGAGACTGTGTTTACCAAGTCTCCCTATCAGGAATTCACTGACCACCTTGTCAAGACCCACACCAGAGTCTCTGTGCAGCGGACCCAGGCTCCAGCTGTGGCTACAACATAGGGTTTTTGTACAAGAAAAATAAAATGAATTAAGCCTGTTACTATTTCCTGTGTCCTGCATGGTTAGTGGTGGTTTGAATCTGCGATGTGGGGCCAATAGATCACACCAGAAACACAGGCAGGTTGCAGGACTTTATTTCAGCAACAGTCATACAGAGCCACATAACAGGTGCACCCACAGATGCCTCAGGAGGTGGCAGCGGCGGCCTCTCTTGCAGCTTTTCTCTCTTCCAGCATCCTCTCCTTCTGTTTGGCCAGGCACTTCCTGGCAGAATAGTGGGCCCCCAGGTCCTGATCTGAGAAAGCAATAGAAACAAGCTGGGAACCCAGGCCTCTGCTGCATGCAAAGGGGGCAAAGTCAAGTGGGCAGAAGTGAGGGGAGGGAGGAATCGCAATGGTTCTGGCCCCCAGGACTCAGAAGGATGGGAGCGGGAGGTCACGCACAGCGGTCCTGGTAGGCCTTGGCCACCTGGGTGAACTGCTCCAGTTCCTTGCTGCAGTTCTGCTTGTAGTTGTGTCCTTCCCTCTGCTGACAGGCCTTGAGTCGAGCCTGTATAATGTTGACAATTTCTTGGTCGACTTTGCTGGGGGAGAAAGGGAGCAAGAGAGGCTAATCACAAGGAATCCTTTCCCTGTACCCAGTGAGAACAATTGAAATCAAGAGTCCTGGGGTCTGGCTCCTCCCATGTCACCCCTAAGATCTGGGCCCGTAGGGCATCCCAGGGACCGGTGGCCCAGCTGCACATGCTGCAGATCTCCACACTCCCAGCGTGGCTCACGTACTAGTCCCTCCTCCACTGCATTTCGGCTTCAAACATGCACAAGACATCATTCTCGTTGCACTCAGTGATGTCTGGCACACGGCGGTACTGCCGGTGGTAGTAGTAATACCTGTTCTTTGCGTGCTGCCGCTCTATAAATTCTGCAAAGACAAAACCACAGACTCAAATACTTAGTTGGTTTGGACAAGCTTTTAGCTTTCTAGTTCTCATAAGCCCCTTGGAGGGGAGGGAGGAGAACTTCCTGAGTGTTCCAGTGTTTAGGAAACAGGCAATTCGGCCGGGCGCGGTGGCTCACGCCTGTAATCCCAGCACTTTGGGAGGCCAAGGCAGGCAGATCATGAGGTCAAGAGATTGAGACCATCGTGGCTAACACGGTGAAACCCCATCTCTACTAAAAAAAGCAAAAAAATTAGCCGGGCATGGTGTGGCGGGTGCCTGTAGTCCCAGCTACTCAGAAGGCTGAGGCAGGAGAATGGCGTGAACCCTGGAGGTGGAACTAGCAGTGAGCCGAGATTGCGCCACCATGCTCCAGCCTGGGTGACAGAGCGAGACTCCATCTCAAAAAAAAAAAAAAAAGAAAACCAGCAATTCGTCTCTATGAGGTGTGGCCGGCCAGGCAGGCCCGTGAAGGCCTAGCCTACAGCTGATGGAGAGCTCCAGCGTACCAGGCATCATCCTCAGAGTTCCACATGCATTACCTTACTCTGTCCCCCACACACGCCTACAGGCAGCTGCTTCTCACAGACAGCACCGACTGTGACAAAGCTCTGCCAGTGCACCTCCCCCAGCTGCACAGGGACCCTTGTGGAGTCCTGGGCGAGGACTGGGTGCTCAGAGGTTCCAACAGGGAGCCTCCGGCAAGCAGAACTTACCACCTTACGGCCTCAGCTTCCTCACTGGGAAATGAACAAGCTAAAAAGAGAGCTCGAACATCCAGACATATACGACAGACATATTCTAGGACTGCTACGAAAGAGAGGGAGCTGGGTCAGCTGTTGCACGGTTTCCACATCTTTGGGGGTTTGATTTGCAGACTTCATCCTTTTACAAGAGAACCACCAGAGCATGCTATGCACGCCAAGTGTTCAAAAAGAACTGAACCAGGCTGGGCGCGGTGGCTCAGGCCTGTAATCCCAGCACTTTGGGGGGCCAAGGTGGGAGGATCACCTGAGGTCAGGAGTTCGAGACTAGCCTGGCTGACATGGTGAAACCCCGTGTCTACTAAAAATATAAAAATTAGCTGGGCGTGGTGGTGGTGCACCTGTAATCCTAGCTATTGGGGAGGCTGAGGCAGGAGAATCGCTTGAACCCGGGATGGGGCAGAGGTTGCAGTGAGCCGAGATCACACCACTGCATTCCAGCCTGGGCAACAGAGCGAGACTGTCTCAGGGAAATAAAAAAAAAAAAAAAACACTGAACTGGGCATTCTCCCGGTTCGTTCCAGAGATGGTGAATGTGGGCATCTCGGCCATCACCCTGACACTTGGTCATCTGGCAGAGAGACAGGTCTAACAACCCCCAGGATTCAGATGCTTCTCTGTGCAGACCACCCCCAACATTTGAGAGAGGCCTGAGGCCAGCGGTGCGGTGGAGGGGTTCCCGGGGCCGCGGGGGCGGAGAGCAGTGCGGGGTCCTGGAGCAGTGGGTGCTGGGTGCGGCAGGGAGGGAAGAGTCCTGGGAAGAAGCGGGGCGTCCCGGGGTGCAGGGGAGAGTAAGGGATCCTAGGAGGTGAGGTCTGGGGTGCAGTGGGAGGCCAAAGGAGGCGACGGAGCTCGGGGGTCTCCGGGGGTGGGGGGTTGTCCCCGGGGTGCAGCGGGGGGCGGTCTCAGGGAGACGGGACCCCGGGGGCAATAGAGGATCCAGGCAGGGTGTGGGATCCAGGGGTCCCCAGAGGCCAGCGAGGGAGCCCCGGGCTGGGGCCTCGTACCTCTCACGAGGGTCACGGGTCGGTCCACGATGAGGTCGAACGCCTTCGTTATGTAGACGACGGGGTTGGGCAGCCAAGTCTGCGACGACAGCACCGGCGTGCGGCGCGGGGGCTCAGGGTACACATCCTTGTCCCAGCTGTCCGGCATGGCGGCGGGAGGCGCGAACCCCGCTCCCTGACGCGCTGCCCTTGCCTCTACCTCGGTCCGGGTCCCGCGGCCTAGGTCGCCAGCTACAGAGGACGCCGAGGGCGGCTGCGTCTGTGCGCTGACGGCCGCGAGGCACCGTGGGACTTGTAGTTCCCCGACTCCGCCCTGCGCGCCGGGACCCGCCTCGCGGCAGGGGCCTCCGTTCTCGGTCTGTGCCGAGCGCCTGCGCGGTGCTGGTCACTGGTCTGGGAGCCTGTGAAACAGTCGCGAACTGGACAGACCCCTGCTTACGGTGAAAGAAACAGACAATAGGCAACAGACATAAGGAATAGGAGGGAGTCATTCGGTTCCCACTGCCCGCCAGGCACTGTGCTGAGTGCAGCAGGGAAGAAGATAAACAGTCCGGCTGTGATGGAGAACACAGGCCGTTAGAGCATACACGACAAAGTCAACAAATAACACGCAATTCCAAACTCCCTACTCTTCCAGGAAGCTTTCCTGGATTGCCTAGCCCGTACAGAATTCTCTGGGCCTCGCTGTCTACCAGGACCCCTCATGGACTGGCTGGTGCCAGTGAACTTGGGAGCCTGTCTCGGGGAGGGCAGGGGGCAGGCCAGGAGGCAGGGCTTGCCCTTAGGCGGCTCATAGGGAGAAGGCAACTACCCTGGGCACGGGGCCCTCTGGCTGGTTTTGATTGTTCCATCCTGGCCCTGAGCACTCTGGTGCTTCTAGGCAGCTCCACTGAGCAGGGCCCTGCTGGCCTTATCTGCAATCTCCACACCGAGCATGGCCCCTGGCTGGTATCCAGGGGGGACACTAGTCATGTCCTGTCCCGAGGCAGAAGCCAGCGCGACACAGAACCATCAACCCTACAGATCTACGGTCACAAACATTCGATCTTCACATTATGAACTTTTTTTTTTTTTTTTTTCAGGCAGAGTCTTGCTCTGTCGCCCAGGCTGGAGTGCAGTGGCATGATCTCGGCTCACTGCAACCTCCACCTCCCAGGTTCAAGTGATTCTCCTGCCTCAGCCTCCCGAGTAGCTGAAACTACAGGCACATGCCACCACGCCCGGCTAATTTTTTGTATTTTTAGTAGAGACGGGGTTTCACCATGTTTCTGGTCTCAAATTCCTGACCTTAGATGATCTGCCCACCTCAGCCTCCCAAAGTTCTAGGATTACAGACATGAGCCACCACTCCCAGCCAAACTCTTGGAAAGAAGTACAAACCATGAGACCCAAACAATCTTGACATTTTAGTAGCCTAGAATCTTAGTATCTATTGATGTAAGAGTCACAGATCTTAGAGACATCGTAGGCCTGAAAAACTCTAAAATTCCACTGCTATAGAACTTTACAACCGGCTGGGCGGGGTGGCTCATGCCTGTAATCCCAGCACTTTGGGAGGCTGAGGCAGGTAGATCACCTGAGGCCAGGAGTTTGAGACCAGCCTGTCCAATATGGTGAAACCCCCATCTCAGGCCGGGCGCGGTGGCTCAAGCCTGTAATCCCAGCACTTTGGGAGGCCGAGACGGGTGGATCACAAGGTCAGGAGATTGAGACCATCCCAGCTAACACAGTGAAACCCCGTCTCTACTAAAAAATACAAAAAACTAGCCAGGCGAGGTGGCGGGCGCCTGTAGTCCCAGCTACTCGGGAGGCTGAGGCAGGAGAATGGTGTAGACCCGGGAGGTGGAGTTTGCAGTGAGCTGAGATCCTTGAAGGATCCAGCCGCACTATACTCCAGCCTGGGCAACAGTGAGACTCCATCTCCAAAAGAAAAGAAACCATCTCTACTAAAAATACAAAAATCAGTGGCATGGTGGCATGTGCCTGCTTAATCCACAGCTACCAGGGGCGGGAGACAGGAAGATTGTGAACCCGGGAGGCACAGAGGTTGCAGTGAGCCGGGGTGTGCCACTGAACTCCTGGCACCTGGGCAACCCAGAGACTCTGTCTCCCTAAAAAAAAAAAAAAGAACTTTACAACCATAGCATCTTTGGGTGAGAAAGAAGAAGAGCTTTGGGCGCAGTGGCTCACATCTGTAATCCCAGAACTCTGAGGCCAAGGCAGGCAGTGCTTGAGCTCAGGAGTTTGAGACCAGCCTGGGCAGCATAATGGTCCTGTCTCCTTAAACAATACAAAAACCAGTATTGAGGCATGGTGGTAAGTACCTGTAGTCCCAGCTACTTGGGGGAATGAGGCAGGAGGATTGCTTGAGCCCAGAAGGTTGAGGCTGCAGTGAGCTGTACTGTGCCACTACACTTCGGCACAGGCACCAGGGAAACCCTGTCTCAAAAAAAAAAAAAAAAAAAAGAAAAAAAAAAAAAAAAAAAAAAAAAAAGAACTTTACAACCATAGCATCTTTGAATTGAAAGAGCTTTCGAGGGGCGCAGTGGCTCACATCTGTAATCCCAGAACTCTGCGAGGCCAAGGCAGGCAGATTGCTTGAGCTCAGGAGTTTGAGACCAGCCTGGGCAACATAATGAGATCCCTGTCTCCATAAACAATACAAAAATTAGTGAGGCATGGTGGTAAGTACCTGTGGTCCCAGCTACTTGGGGGAATGAGGCAGGAGGATTGCTTGAGCCCAGAAGGTTGAGGCTGCAGTGAGCTATTACTGTGCCACTACACTTCAGCCTGGGCACCAGAGGAAACCCTGTCTCAAAAAAAAAAAAAAAAAAAAGAAAAAAAGAAAGAAAGAAAGAAAAATAAGAGATTTCAACCCCCTTTTCATTCAAAACTTAAGTTCAAAATTTAAATTTGGCCAGGTGCTGTGGCTTATGCCTATAATCTCAGCACTTTGAGAGGCTGAGGCAGGAGAACCATTTGAGGCCAGGAGTTTCAGACCAGCCTAGGCAACATGGTGAGACACCCGCCTCTACAACAAAATACATTTTAAAATTAGGTCCTGCTGAGGCAGGAGGACCAGTTAAGCCCCGAAGGTTGAGGCTGTAAGTGAGCTATGATCACACCGCTGCACTCCAGCCTGAGCAATGGAGTGAGACGTTGTCTCTTCAAAATAAATAAATAAGGCTGGGCACGGTGGCTCATGCCTGTAATCCCAGCACTTTGGGAGGCCGAGGTGGGCATATCACAAGGTCAGGAGATCGAGACTATCCTGGCTAATACAGTGAAACCTCGTCTCTACTAAAAATATAAAAAATTAGCCGGACATGGTGGCAGGCACCTGTAGTCCCAGCTACTCAGGAGGCTGAGGTGGGAGAATGGCGTGAACCGGGGAGGTGGAGCTTGCAGTGAGCCGAGATCACGCCACTGCACTCCAGCCTGGGTGATACAGCAAGACTCCGTCTCAAAAAATAATAATAATAAAAATAAATAAATAAATATAAATTCATAAAATGCTTGTGAATTATAGGAGCCATATCTTGATTTTTTTTTTTTTTTTTGAGTCAGAGTCTTACTCTATTGCCCAGGCTGGAGTGCAGTGGCGTGATCTCGGCTCACTGCAACCTGCAAACTCTGCCTCCCAGGTTCAAGTGATTCTCCTGCCTCTGCCTCCAGAGTAGCTGGAATTATAGGCCCACACCACCATGTCCAGCTAATTTTTATATTTTTGGTAGAGACGGGGTTTCACTGTGTTGGCCAGACTGGCATTTTTTTTTTTTTTTTTAAGACAGTGTCTCGCTCAGTCACCCAGGCTGGAGTGCAATGGTACAGTCAAGGTTCACTGCAGCCTGACCTCCTGGGCTCAAATGATCCTCCTGCCTCAGCCTCCCAAGGTGCTGGGATTACAGGCATGAGCCACTGCCCTTGGCCAGGGATCTCAATCTGGAGGCACAGCTCTGGTGATCCTCAGGGTGCAGTCAGCCCTCTGCCTCGTCTCCCCCATCCCCAACCCTGCTCCCCACCGTTTATCCAGCCGTCTCCCAGCCCTCAGGATGGGAATCCCCTCCGCCTCCAAGTCAGCAAACTGCACCAGACTCCTCCTCTTGGCCACTGCCTGGGAGAAGGTCCCCACCAGACTACATTGGCCCCCACCTTGCCTGTCCCCAGTCCTGTCCTGGGAGGGTCAAAACCCAGTCCCAGGGCCATCGAGGAAAGGAGTGCCAGCCCCGGCTCTAGGTGCCCCACCCAGGCTGCCCATCTGATGCCCCCAACACTGCCCCACCCGTGCCTGCTCCTGGCACCAGAGACCCTGCTGATTGTGCCAGAGGCTAATCTGGGAGCTGGCAGCTGTGAGTCCTGGCCCTGCCACTCGACCTCTGGTGGCTAGCGGGGAGGCCCCTTCCTGACCTTCAGGGATCGGCCACCATGGTTGGTGGGACCAGGGTGACATGGAGGGTGGGCTGGGGTTGGAGCTGGAACTCTGGGGGGATGGGACAGCTGGGCTTCTGGAAGCTCCCTCAGAGGGACAGTCTCCCAGCCTGTGAGGGGTTGGGACGCTGGAGGGGGAAACAAGGGGATGAGGGCTGGGCTGCCGGGCCTGGGAGGGCCCTGGAGATGAACAGATGACAGCGGCCACCTGCCCCAGGAGTCCTTGGCCGCAGTATGGGTGCAACCCTCCTGGGCCCCAGGCTGAGCCCACAGAGGCAGGAAGCCTGTGGCTATGGAGACGCTATCCCAAAGACCCTGCCCCTTGGTGAACCTTCCTCTCTCCTGTAGGCAGACAAGGGAGGTGCTGAGCACTGGCCTCAGTCTGAGGCCTGTAGTCCATTTTTCCAGGTATGGGTTCTGGGACCATCCAGCTCCACCACCAGGGACACCCCAGGTCTGACCTCCTTCCTTACTGTCCCCCAGTCCCACCGGAAGTTTTCCGCCCCTCGGCATGGACACCTGGGCTTCCTGCCCCACAAGAGGAGCCGCCGGCACCGGGGCAAAGTGAAGACGTGGCCACGGGATGACCCCAGCCAGCCTGTGCACCTCACGGCCTTCCTGGGCTACAAGGCGGGCATGACCCACACCCTGCGTGAGGTGCACCGGCCGGGGCTCAGTGAGTCACACTTGGGACCCTCGGGGGAGGGGGAGGGCTGACCCTTGCAGATGCTCGGAGCCAGAACTCACATCCTTGGTCCAGGCGGATCACAGTCCCAGGGAGCACCAGGCCCTGCCCCTGGGAATTGTGGTGGACGCTGAGCTCAGGCAGGGCTTCCGGGAGGGTTCTGTCATGGCCTCAGCTCGCAGACGAGGACATCGAGGCACACAGCAGTGAGGAAACTGGTCCAGGCACCGGGGCAGTAAGCCCAGGAGCTAGGATTGAAAGTCCGGCGCCCCCAGCCCTCGGTTCAAACCACCCGCCAGGACATCAGCACTTTTTGGTCATTTGGGGTCTATTTCATGTACCATTATTTTGTATGTATGGCTATGTATATAGTTTGGTTTTTGTTGTTTTAATTGTAGATTCACAAGTAGTTGTAAGAAATAATGTAGGCCGGGCATGGTGGCTCACGCCTGTAATCCCAGCACTGTGGGAGACTGAGGCAGGAGGATCATTTGAGGCCAGGAGTTACAGACCAACCTGGGCAGCATCATGAAACCCTGTCTCTACAAAAAAATACAAAAACTAGCTGGGCATGGTGGCGAGCGCCTGTAGTCCCAGCTACTTGGGAGGCTGAGGTGGGAGGATCACTTGAGCTTGGGAAGTCAAGGCTGCAGTGAACTATGATTGCACCACTGCACTCCAGTCTGGGCGACAGAGTGAGACCCTGTCTCAAAAAAAGAAAAAGAAATCCATTGTAATTATTAAAATAACAAATGCTCATTTGGGCTCAGCCCCACCCTCTGGGGGATGCTGTCCTGGCTGGCCCCACACTCTCCTGGCCTGCCCCTGTATGGCCGGCTCTCCACTCCCTCCCCCACGGGCTTCAGGAGGTCCCCCTTCATGCCCCATCCCTGCGTCTTACCCAGAAATTTCCAAACGGGAGGAAGTGGAGGCGGTGACAATTGTAGAAACGCCGCCCCTGGTGGTGGTGGGCGTGGTGGGCTATGTGGCCACCCCTCGAGGTCTCCGGAGCTTCAAGACCATCTTTGCAGAACACCTCAGTGACGAGTGCCGGCGCCGATTCTACAAGGACTGGTGAGCACCGCCCTTGGCTGGGCTGTCCAAGGGCTGCTGGGACCACAGAAGTTGGGTGCCTGCGTCTCTAGCTCTTGCTGAAATGATATGTGTGGGTGAGCAGGAAGAAAAGTCTCAGTGCTGTGTGGGAGGTAGGAGTGTGTGTGTGTTTCTGTGTGTTGCCTTCATTTCAATAAAAGATGAGTAGGCTGGGCGCGGTGGCTCATGCCTGTAATCCCAGCACTTTGGGAGGCCGAGGCAGGTGGATCACTTAAGGTCAGGAGTTTGAGACCAGCCTGGCCAACATGATGAAACCCCATCTCTACCAATAAATACAAACATTAGCTGGGTGTGTTGGTGCACACCTGTAGTCCAGCTACTCAGGAGGCTGACGTGGGAGAATCACTTGAACCTGGGAGGTGAAGGTTGCAGTGAGCTGAGATCGTGCCACTGCACTGCAGCCTGGGTGACAGAGTAAAACCCTGTCTCAATCTCAAAAAAAAAAAAAAAAAAAAAAAAAAAGAGTACTAGAAGGCTGGGGATGAAATCAGGATGGAGGAAAAACAGAAAATATTCTATTCCTCAGGGTTAATTAAAAGGCTAATTTGAGCAGATTGTGGTGGCTCACACCTGTAGTAGTCCCAGCATTTTGGGAGGCTGAGGCAGGTGGCTCATTTGAGGTCAGGAGTTCGAGACCAGCAGGGCCAACATGGTGAAAACCTGTCTCTACTAAAAATACAAAAAAAAAAAAAAAAAAAAAATTAGCCAGGCATGGTGGCAGGCACCTGTAATCCCAGCTACTTGGGAGGCTGAGGGAGGAGAATCGCTTGAGCCTGGGAGGTGGAGAGTGCAGTGAGCTGAGATTGTGCTGCTGCACTCCAGTCTGAGTGACAGAGTGAGACCCTGTCTCAAAAAAACAAAAACAAAAACAAAAGGCTAATTTGATGGAATGTTAGCATTGGCTCTGAGTTTCCTAGCAGCCACGGTGAAAAGTGAAATAGCCGCCGGGCGTGGTGGCTCAAGCCTGTAATCCCAGCACTTAGGGAGGCCGAGACGGGCGGATCACGAGGTCAGGAGATCGAGACCATCCTGGCTAACACGGTGAAACCCCGTCTCTACTAAAAATACAAAAAACTAGCCGGGCGAGGTGGCGGGCGCCTGTAGTCCCAGCTACTCGGGAGGCTGAGGCAGGAGAATGGCGTGA